AATTAAAGTAATATTTTGGTATTTTACGTATTAAAGTATATATAAGTTTTGGAGAATAATAATAAAATAAATTAAAAAACAAAGATTTGTCCTCTATGAGCTGTAGGCATGGTGAAATAGGAGTACGCACTTACATTCTCGTGGGAACAACACGCAAATACATATTCGAAATAACTAACATCACCGTTACACAAAAAGCTTATCGTGGCTTAAATATTTTTTTATTTTTGTAAAGTCAGACTAGTTTAATAGTCTCGTTTGTTAATTGCTAAAGTTTAAAATTTGAATCAAACATATTTATACATTTAAATAAACGTTTTAACTGCTCCATTTAATGTAGTATAACTAATTTAAACTACTTAATTAACTTAATTATTAACTAATTAATTTAAATTAAACTTCGGAAACACGACATGACTGAGTCTGGTTTCTGATTCTTATAGAAAAAATAGCAGTGCGTCAATGTTGCGGCGTATAAATAGGCACACAACGGTAAATTGTACATTTTATCTCCAATTTTCACATAATTTACACCGGTCGTTAAATAGAAGGTTATGTTAGCTCTGAATATTAAATTATATGGAATCTTAATTGCCTTCGCGTCCCGAATAACATACAAAATTAAAGATAATATAAATTTATGTAAAATGATCGTTAAAAATAAAGCCTCTTTTTAGCTTATTTGCTAGTTGTCCTGCCCAGGTGGGAGACGCCAAGGCTTTTAAGTAAATACAGTTTTAAGGGAAAGGAAAGATTTGAAACGCTTCGCAGCCTGATTCTATAAATAAATAAAAAAAACACATGCTATATTAAGTTAATATGTATAATAATCCAGTGGCGCTACAACCTGAAATGGAAATTGACTATTGGCCTTAGATTGCATGCGTTTGATCATTTTAAATTTTAAGGCAAGACTGTCTATTTCTATCTGTTTCAATACTATATTTGGATTTAAGAAATGCCGGTTTCCTCACGATTTCTTTCATACAAGCGAGTACATTGACAGAATTGTTAAAATAAGGACAATAAAATACTTATTAAAATATGCAATAAAAATAATATACACTTGTGAAAATGACATGAGACCTTAAGAGAAGCAGGGCTAATCAGATCCATGCAACTTCCTCACAATCGTTTAGCCCGTAATGCAACAAACTCACGAGGGGACTCTTTGTATTGGAGTAGCATGGGTCCGTCAACCATTCGCGAATATACACTGTCAATACATAATTATGTAGGAATAAAGAAATTATATAGCAAATAATTAACATGCAATGTTTCTAATACGGATGAAAATGTTCACCGAGTCTATTTATGTTTGACAATTACGAGCCGACTATATCCATTTCAAATGTACGTGACATTTTTCTTTCCTCTACTGCATTAGAACTTTGACCCCGTGTATTGGTGGTCTATGTAAAATAATTGATAAATCATTTTAATTTCCAAAACATTCCGTCTCCATGCGTGGGAGTGGCTTCGAAATTCCGTACAGGTCACCGTCGTTCCTATAAGTGCGCGTTGAATTTAGAAAAATCTTTATTTTAGTAATAAATTTGATTAACATTTGCTTGCTACTATTGATTATTAAAAGATAATCGATTTGACTTAACCCCCGTTAGTTCGGTTGTAGCGTGCGTAGCTCTTACATAAGCATAATATATAATATTTATTTATTTACTCATTGTCAAGTATTCATGTCATTCAAGTCAATGTCAGTTTTTGACAGTTCGAACGCGCCAATTTTACCCGAATTAAAATTTCTCGAATTCTGTTCGAAAAATGAATTTCCGTTTATTAAAGTGTACCACAGCATATGCAATACAATTTTACAGCGTAAGTTACAATCTATTGTTCTAAAGAGTACGGTGAACGTAAAATTTGCAAAAAATATTAGTTTTATAAAAACGCTTACAGATGCGTTAAACTCAAGCTTTTCATACAAAAACTATTGTGTTAAAGCATTAAGTAAACCCCTTGTACCTGTGTGATTCATTCACACACATACACAATAATTTAATTATTATAAAAAAAGGTATAGCGTGGTGAGTCAGCAACAAATAAATTCTTTATTTAAAATTCTTGAAACGGTCATTGGCACATGGGAACAATCTGATACACCTCTGAGTTTCTTGTTCTATGATCTTGATATAAAGCTTATATCACTTGAAACATGATATAATAGTGTTATGGTATGTTTATTAAGTTGCGTTGAGTGTTCTTTGTTGTATATGTTAATGTGAGACTAATGAACAATTATTTTTAAAGTGAAAACTTCTTTAGCGGTGTTCTACACTTTTTTTGGAATGGGTAATAAATGTTAAACTCGCGTCAGGACACGTGACCTGATCGAAAATTCGTAAGACGGATTGAGAGTAGGCAGCTGGCGCGGCGTATTTAATGTTATATAAATTGCCATGTTTGTGTACGATAGCGCAATAAATTAATATTGTATTCTACCACATAAATGATAGTACCTTTATACTGATAATTTAAAAAAAAGTAATTCGTGGAACCAGCTGCCCACTGAAGTATTTCCGAACCAATTCGACTTAGGGTCCTTAAAGAAAGGCCAGCAACGCACTTGCGAGCCTTCTGGCAATGTGAGTGACCATGGGCGGCGGTATCACTTAACATCAGGTGAGCCTCTTGCCCGTTTGCCTCCTAATTCATAAAAAAATAACACGCTATATATATAAAAATATGGTATAAAACATACCATATTTTACTATATAATAATTGTATTTAGTAACAAGGATGCGTCATTTGATAATAATCGTTCGAAACATAATCGCGTTTCAAGGCCAAGTTGATCGTTATTTATTCCAAGTTTTGTTCATAAGAATGCAAATAAAAAGCGTCCGAAGTCTCGCCGCTCGCGCACCTTCGCTCTTAAAAAATAATAATATATCCACTATTATAACGTGGAATTTGAATAACGTTTATAGCCTGTTTGAACAGTGTCAAAGACAATGTATTATCTATGATCTTTACATTTCTGACAATCGATTTTTGTTTTTAGATTAAGCCCAGGTCTCAAATCTAATGTTAATAGTCTTATTTATTAATACATTGCTTATTATTAGTTGTTATTAAATATACAAGTTATTAAATCATGGGCGTATGACTTTAGTCTGTTTAGGTGTATAACAAAAAGTCAATTGTCAAATCTAATGTGAAATTGTGTACACAATCATCTAACACTTATCAAAATGTCAACAAACCAATGTAATGGCTCAAAGATATTTAGATATTTAAAAAAAAAAAGTAGTTTGTTTACGTACCTAAAATACAATTGATTGATTATTAAGCCTAAATATTAGAAATTATATTGTTAAAGACGAGAAATAATCTAAACAATTGAATATCCAAATAGAAAAATCAAATAGCAATTAGTTAATACACTTATCTACCTTCATATAGCAAAATTCGTAACGCATGCATCTCACAATTAAACATATTATAATTAATTAGATTGTTTAGTGCGAGTGCCAAGCCAATTTATTTATTTAAAACATACAATATTTTTAATATTGATATGGTATAAGATGTTGTTAGGTTAGCTAATAACATAATAACATAAGACAAAGATCCCTGATTGAATAAATTAACCGACATGGCTCTCACAATTTTTTACGGTAGGATCGAGTTGCGAGACTAGGATTGCATATGATTTCTTTTTTTAGATAGTCCTACTTTTTTTCCTTTCCGGTACCTCTTCTACTTTAAATACTCTGCATTCTATATATTATAGACCTGACTGATTCATTCATTGCAATCCTTAATTATTAAGGCAGTTGGTGTATCGTCTAGAAAACTGGAGCAAAATTGAAAAAAAAAAAAAATTCTTCCTTGATTTATAGTTTATTTAGTGTTTCCCAACGTGGAGGTTTCCCAAAAGGTTTCAATTCTATTGCTAAGGGGTGTTATACAAAAATTTATTAAATTTATTTAGAATTTGAATTTAAAATTTACTTACTGTTTTTCGTTAACAATTTCCTAGTAATTTCTTCCTATTTAAGTTTCTTAAGTGAACAATTGAATTATTTATATAAAAATTACGTATGTTGAATTTGTCATAAGAATTTTAGTAAGGCTAAGGTGGGGCATGGCACAAAAAAGGTTGGGAATCACTGGTCTAAATACTAATTGAATTCTTAATTACAAGCTTCTCTTTCTGCTAGAAATAACTTAAAGTTTTGATGATCGGTCAGTCGGTTGTACGTCAGTGAGTGGGTGACAAAATTAAGAAACTTTGACTAGGTATAATACTCCAACTACTGATTCAATGTCTGCTTAGTTACTGAATGGCTTCAAATTTTATTATCCACAACGAAGTTAAGGGGGTCGAGAATGGCTTGAAATGATTCAAGAAAAGGATGGTACGGTCGTGCCGCCTTTTTTAATCGACTTGACTTATTGCCAATCATATCTCCATATATATTCACGTACATAATTAATATCCAAACAATACTCTAGCAACGAAATATTGCTATTTTTTATTCCTCGACTAGAATACGTCATAACAATTAATCCCACCAAGGAGGTGTCATCATTTTCGCGATTCGAACGCATATTCAAGCGCCATCTCTGTGGTATGTCATGTTCCAATTTTGACTTATCTGTGGCAGCGTCCGAATGCGCGGCAATGTGTTTTGGCGCCATTTCGTTTTCAAGCACCTATTAGAATTTCGTCATTTTTCGTTGTGATTTAAATTTATTTATAGTGAATTTACATAATTTGATTATTACCAGATATGTTGAGGCATCGTTTTAGCTAAATGAGTAGACGAAACGATAATAATTATTGTATCAGGACGTGCGTTTATGGTATAGAACATTTTATTTTTCTTATGCTATGACATTTTTCGAAAAAGTATTATACATTGAACGTCGTCACATCACGAGATTAGCAACAATTGTGTATAAAACTGTTTTAAACTGGGAAAAGAAAAAAAAATAAAACTAACTATAACATTCAAATCATTCCAGAAATTGAAATGGAGTTCACAAAGTATCCCGAATCGGTAGCAGCCCCGGTTGGTGATGAAGTCACCTTCGAGTGCGCCGTCAGAGTTCCAGGAGAACGTCTACAGTGGAGGTGGAAGGCTGCTGATGGAGACTGGAGGCAGTGGAAGGAGATACCAGCACGGGAAAACGACGGAGTGTCCACCAAGCTGGTTGTGGACGTCAATGAGAATATGGTTGATGGCTTATATCAGGTTCGTTCCACAGGAAATATTTCATAAAAGAAATCGCTAACAAATATTTTATCGTGTTCTATTTATTTACACTATACTAATATTATAAAACTGAAAAGTTGTTTGAACGCTGTAATCTCTGCAACCACGGCGTCGAGTTAAAATTCTTTTAAGAATCGAATAGAGGGGATGAAACCCCAAGGCACATTATCACACATAATTCTTTAAAATAAAAGTAATGTACAATAGTTTCAAATCACCAGGAGTACCTAAATGCATGTGTAGACGATTTAAAACAGATTAAAAAAAATCGGTTGTCTGTAAAGTCGGTTTACTGACGATAGTTGAACGTGACAACGTCATAAAAAAATATTGATGGGATGGTTGCATTTTTCAAAAAAAAAATTAAATTTTATTTGTTTGATAGGTATTTTGTATGGATATAGATAAGGAGGTAAATGGAAATCACAATTGAATTGATCAAGGTACATTTATTTGTACGCATAAATACAATTATGTCAATTTTAAATGGAACGGTAACGCCTCAGAGAGAGGTAACGCCTCAGAGCGAGGTAACGCCGCATGAGTCATGTTTTTTCGTGCGTGCAGCCGGCTCCATCGAATTATAAGACGTTGTCACGTCAAAAATCCATACCTTTATGTCCCCTAAAATATTTAGTTTTCTGTGCCAAGACGGGCTTCTGTAGCCCCGAAATATTCGAAATATTCCGAAAAAAAAAAATTGTACCAAATACGGCTAATTTCAAAGTTTACATATAAAATGTATTTTTGTATGACCTTATAAATACCTTTACAAAAATAGAACCCACTCCAAATGCGTTTAAAATTATTAAATAATATTAGGTCCTTACATATATGAAATTGGCGTTTTGTATGGGAGGAACAAAAAGTCGAATATTTTTAAATATAATATATTTAATTAATCAAAGTATGAACCATTGTTTTCTATGCACTTTTGCCATCTCATAGGTAGTTCATTGATGCCTTTACTAAAAAAAACCAGTTGGACGGAAATCAATAAAATCTGTGAAGGCGATTTGGACTGCCCCATCAGAGTTACATTTTTTTCCCTTGCAAGAAGTTGTCCAAATTTCGAAAAAAAATTGTAATCTGTTGGAGCAAGGTCCGGGGAGTACGGAGGATGTCTTATACATTCCAATTGAAGCTCTTCTAATTTGGTAGCCGTCTGTTGTGCAGTGTGTGGTCTAGCGTTGTCGTGAAGTAGCAGTGGCGTGGAGCGATTGACAACCTAGGCTAGGTTGTTTAGCCGCTAGCTTTTCCATCATGGTTTGCAATTGCTGACAATAGACATCAGCTGTAATAGTCTGGCCAGATTTAAAAAAACTGCAATGAACAATACCGGCACTAGTCCACCAAACGCTTACAAGTAACTTTTTTGGGGTTAATTTTCGCTTGGGGCAGGATTTGGCTGGCTGGCCAGGATCCAACCATTGCGCTGAGCGCTTCCGATTATCGTAAAGAATCAATTTTTCATCACAGGTAATGATTCGGTTTAAAATACCTTCATTATTGTGCCGGATCAGTAATGTAACGCAGCAGTCGACGCGCGTTTGCCGGTTTGCTTCAGTCAATTCGTGAGGTACCCATCTTTCAAGCTTTTTAATCTTCCCAATTTGCTTCAAGTGAATTAAAACAGTTTTATCATTAACACCGCAGCCTGCAGCTAACTCGGACGTGGTTTGCGATGGATCGGCTTCCACAATAGCCTTCAATACTTCATTATCAACTTGGGTCTCAGGCCGTCCACGGTGCCTGTTCTGCAGGTCGAAATTTCCAGAACGAAAACGTTGGAACCAAAAACGAACTGTGTTCTCTTTGGCAACATGACCACCATACACATCATTCACCCTTCGAGTCGTTTCCGCAGCACTAGTGCCACGGCGGAACTCGTACTCGTAAATAATGCGATACTTTAAGTTTTCCATTTTGTAAAATGAGTGACGCAAACAGAAAAAAAACAGAAGAAAAAAACAAATGAATGACGGTCATCGAAGCACAAATACATGAGTAAATAGCTGTACAAATTTGAATTTGGAATTCCTTACCAAAGAGGAGAACATCGTGATTAAAGTGGCCAGTACGAAATACGCCAATTTCATATGTAAGAACCTAATATATTATTCCTCCACGTTGGTTTTTTGTCTATAGGTTAAAATTCTACACATCCGCACAGACTCACCAATATTTAGAGTATAATACACTAGACACTGTTCAAGGAAATTCTTTGTGAAATCTTAATCTAATCTAAATATATATATCATCTACATATACTAAGAAACAAATAACGAAGTACTAAAAGACAAACAAATTAAACTTGTCAACGTTTAATTCAATTTGTAGATATCAATAATTATTAATGGTTGTAAATCAATTACAAGTTTAAAGTTAACAACATGAGTTATTTGCAAAACAATACTTATGCGCAATCAATGTTTAATTGTCTTAAAATATAATATGTTATTGATTTACATATTATATTTAAAGATAATTTGCTAATTTTAAAAAACATTATTTTTAACCGTACTGTAGCTAAAATTTTCAACAACAGTGGCGCTGCAACCTTTTAGATTCGGGCCTCAGATTAGTGTATGTGTTTAGTGATCATTTGTTTTCTCTAATAGGCAAGTAGGTGATCAGCCTTTGGGCCTGACACACACCGTTTATTAGGAATAATGGCAGTTTCCTCACGATGATTTCCATCACCGTACAAGCAAGTGTTAATATATATACATTGACAGAAAGTCCATTGGTGCTCAGCCAGGATTGGAACCTACGACCTCCGGGATGAGATTCGCACGCTGAACCTACTAGGCTTACTTCTCGTATCATAAGACACATACACTTGTTATTTTGTGGACAACACAAATTCAAATTTAAAATCATTTAATCATATGGGTAACACATTGTACACTTATGACTTGTCTGTAAAGAAATACATATAAATGCTTCTAATTTTACATTCAGTGCCAGTTCTCAAATCAAGGGCGTAGAACGGAAGAGAAGAACTGGCAATAAACTCTTCGCCACTCTTTTTAATCGCCATGTTTTTTTTTACACAAAGTTTGTAAGGAGCTGCAACCATTAAACCATACGACACACAGCTTGGCACACATTCTTAAAATTATATCATCATTATTTATATACATATAGGTCAGTTTAAATGATTGCTTGTACACTAAATATACCAAGGGCCAGAACCAGTGTGTTGCACAGATCCTCCTTATCAATGACGTTGCGCCTACTGAATGCTGTCTCCGACACTATCGACATATTTGTATGTTCGCAGAGTGAATTAACAGTAGCGATATTGTGTATATTATGTTTTTAATTTCGACATTATCGTATTAGCTTAGTACTGTAAGGATAATGAATGTATTTTTGTGAATTAAATAAAATATGTTAAATTGAAGCTAGTAAACTAAGCCTCGTAAGACGATTCTCTTAAGGACCGATCTGGTCGCCAAACACCAAAAAAGTACATCCCAAACGCAAACAAAAAAAATCATTCGAATTGGTGCAGCCGTTTAAGAGGAGATCAGTGACATACACACGTACAGTAGAGTTATATATATGTAAGCTGTCCTATCTTTTAAGTTAGATCAAACTGCACACGGTGTGCAAATTTGATTGAAATCGGTTCAGTAGTTTAGGAGTCCATAGCGGACAAGAACATATAGTCCCGACATTGTTGACTACTTACGGCTCGTAATCGCATCGCGTATTTAAATTTCATCAAAAAAATGTTATTTATGTGTATTTAACAAAATATTCTAATTGATAAAGCTTAATATAAGCAAATGAATGAATGAATTTATAATTATTTCGATGTTTTAACATAAGCTTTCAATAGACTGAAAACTTGGCTAAGATTAATTATTCTCGGAAACCAGAATTTAGTCCCGTTAGGAATACCCCAAGGCGAATATTTATCTCAACGTTAGATTTCGCATTTCATTACGTACCATTTAAATATTCACAGTTTACCAAATGTATTGAAATTTTGCTTTGCCCCAATTCTGGAGTAATTCCCGAACTTGATTTAGTTTAATACCCTTTAAGAAAGAGCCGATCCTCCTAGCACTCTGGCAATCCAATGACACTACAACAATTGGTCTGGGCGTTAGATTTCTGTATTTGGATCGTGATTGCTTTAACTTAATAGGTAATTATGTTATTAGCCATCTGTGCTCGACACACGCCGAGGGTGTAGAATTGCCGGTGTCCTCACGATGTTCTTCACCGTACAAGCGAGTGTTAAATGCTCGCATAGAAAGTCCATTGGTGGACAGCCGGAGTTACGACTACTTCCTCAGTATAATAATAATAAAGCCATTATTATTTCCGTATCCGTAAGTTCAATTACATATCAAAAAACCCACAACAACTCCCTGTGACTAGCGTCAGATCTATTTTGTCACATACATATTTCTGTCATGAATAAAGTTTTATTATTATTATTTAAATGTGTTTAGTATTATAGTCTTCCAGTATTATTTTATTATGTAGCCAAGTTCACATTGCAAGGATCGTCAAGCTTAAATGTCGTTGCTTGTGGCGGCGTCCATGCGTCGGGTTGTCCCTCCCTAAAATATGGCGAGGAGGCCGATGGCTGGCCATGCATCATACTCGTGATCGGGTGCTACTTGTGGTGACTGGTCGTACTTGAATTCGTGTATGCGGTGATGTTAGTTGTTTCCACTATGTGTTTGCGTGTTGATTCCACGAGAATGTAAGTGCGTACTCCTATTTCACCATGTCTCCTGCTGATAGAGGACAAATCTATTTTTAATTTATTTTATTATTATTTATTACTTAAGATGTCATGTGAACATGGTGTAATGGTTGCAGCTCCTTACAAACGTGGTGTAAAACAAAAAACTTGGCGATTAAAAAGAGTGGCGGAGAGTTTATTGCCAGTTCTTATCTTCCGTTCTCCGCCCTTGATTTGAGAACTGGCAGGCAAATTAGAAGCATTTAATGCATATTTCTTTTTTTGACGTTCATAAGTGTACATTGTGTTACCTACGTGAATAAATAATTTTTTACTTTGACTTGACTTTGAGTCGTTATTGCTATTACTATAGCAATACCCACCTTTTTAGCCTGGCCACTCTTTCAACCGAAGCAATATTAATTATAAATTATGAAGAATAATGAACTTTAATAAACGTCATTCGATCACCTGCGATATTCTCATTTTCAGAACCTTTCCGCCGAATCGTTTTAGCAACCTTGCTCTATTCATTATTTGCTATTATTATTATGTTCTTTACTCCTACATAATTATTTATTGACAGTGTATATTCGCGGATGCTTGGAGGACCCATGCGACTTCAATACGAAGAGTCCCCTCGTGAGTGGTTTTGCATCGCGGACTACTCGATTGTGAGGAAGTTGCATGGATCTGGTTAGAGCTGTGCTTTCTTAAGTTCTCATGTCATTTTCACACATATATATCCTCTGTATAACATATATTCATAAGTATTTGAAAATAAAATATAACCGTGATGTTTTCAGTGTGTAATATGGTACGGCGCAATTAGCCTGGTATCGATACCGGCAAAGCTGTCCATTGCTAGACTGGATTTAACCCAGAACACGCCAGAGAAACGGGTGATCACTGCACCATTGCATAACACCGTGGTACTGCATTGTAAGGAGCCGAAGTCTGAACCGCCGGCAGTGTTGAGCTGGTGGAAGGAGAATGGCAAGGTAAGCTGTTGGAATGTTATTAAACATACATTAGTGGATTTTATTAATGTTTAAATACTTTTGATATTTATTCCATTCCCGTTACTTATGAATGAAGAAGACAAAAGATAAAAAAAATGATTTTCAAACGCTTCTGACTCTTGGTACATTATTTTAAAATTGAAACTATTTCTTTGTATCTTTTTTAATTAAGTTGGTAATTGAAACGGCCTTTATTTTGAGCTTTTACGTAGGTATATTTTTATTTTATTTTATTTCAATTTTATTTTATTTCAAAAGGCACACTAACGAAACACATACAAACACTTACAGAGAACACATAACATAGAAAACAAGATACATGCATGTGCATCAATAACAAGTGTGCACAACATTTATAGGGAAACATTACAATGATGAAGAGAAAATAACTTCAACATTAAAAGTAAAAAACAAACATGCAATTTACAAATACATATAAATAAAAAACAATAATTTTCAACTTTGCAATTATCACTATTGGTCACGGATCAACATTGGCTGCAGCATATATATAAATAAGACCGTGAACAGAACTTGTGCAGATACTCTCTTACGCCTAAAAGCGATATCTCATAGCGCTGATGTCTGTCATGTCATACAAATGAGCAGTGTTGGCCTAGTGGCTTCAGCGTGCGACTCTCATCCCTGAGGTCGTAGGTTCGATCCCGGCTGTGCACCGATGGACTTCCTTTCTATGTGCGCATTTAACATTCGCTTTAACGGTGAAGGGAAAACATCGTGAGGAAACCTGAGGCTGAGGCTTGCCTTAGACCCAAAAAGTCGACGGCGTGTGTCAGGCACAGGAGGCTGATCACCTACTTGCCTTTTTGATTGAAAAATGATATTCAAATAAATACAGAAATCTGAGGCCCAGACCTATTTAGACTGATTTATTTTATCTTCATACAAAAGCACATATTAAATGAATGTCAAATTAGGGCTCTCGCAAACAACTGGACACACCGCACGGTGTGCTGGTCATCCACAACGCGACAGCTGCTGATGATGGAACCTATGGATGTGCCGCTACCAACGAGATAAGCGGACAAAGCATCGACCTTCCCGAGAGGACGTACTTGAGGGTGCAGCATGAGGGAAATGGTGGAGTCAGGTAAGTTTTTTTTCAGTTCAGTGTAACATTTTACGTTTACTCTTATGTCGCATGATATTTGTTGCGCAACGATTGTAAGTCAAATATGCCTGACATAAGTCGATTTGTGTTTATGATGTTCCGGTTTTTTTTATCAAAGTCAAATGTGCCTATTTGGGTTTATAAAATTCTAGTTTTTTTAATCAAAGTTTACCTTTACATTAGGCGCTAAATATGAAAAATCTGTATGTTACCTGGAGTCGAACACACGTTCTATGGATTCATAAAATATGTCTATTAGAAAATGCTTGGCTAGTCCCCGTAGGAATTCCTAAATAATAAATATTTATATTTTACATTATTTATTTATTTCGTAATCGTACAGTTAACATAAATAATATATAACTTTTATACTAAAGATATAGCCCATTGTTTTTCAACCATAAAAACCATTTAAAATAATATACATAATCTCGAATACTTAAAAAAATTAATTGTTCGTTTGAGAAACTTAATTGATAGATTTTAGGAATAAATTACTAGAAAATTGTTAACGAAACACAGTAAGTTAAGTTAAATTTAAATGAAAAACTGAAATTCAATTTCCAAATAATTACAATAAATTTTCGAATAGCCTCCCTTATCAATGAAATTACGCCTGTGGGGCGTGGGCCCTTTTTTATATTACTTAAACGGAATATTAACTTCGCTAAAAGTAAACTAATTTTATCTTGATTAATTACTATAATAACTTAATTATTTACTTATTTTGTATCTCGATAGAAACATTAAACAATAGATCATCTACAGATTTCTAGAAACAGAAGAATACGTTGGTAAATACGAGAAAGAAGTTCTCATAGCGCCAGTGGGTCCTGATGATGGACTGCGGCTCTGGTGTGGGGCGGTGGGCACTCCTCCGCCGAAGATCACTTGGAGCAAGGAGGGGTCACCCAGCCTCCCTCGGAGACATGACCACACACTCACAGTGTCACCTTTTACTACAGAAAATGAGGTAAGAAAAAAAAAATCCGGGTTGGGTGAATCCGTTGATTTCATTTGTATAGGCCGATAATATGATTAAAAGGAGTATTAAGAATATCCATAGCGCAAAATCTCCTGCATCATGAGTCCCACATACACACCTTCACGTACTTGCCGTCACTTTTACACCATCACACAACACAGCCAAGTTAGGTATTACTTAGTTAAATATATTGAATATTTTTTATTGTTTATTCCCTTTTGTAAATGTTTGAACCTTTCTGTAAACATTATGTATTCTATCTTTGGCTTTATTTATGGTGTAATTGTTTGTTTTTATATATAATTTTTTAGCTGTAACGAAATACAAAAAATAAATAATAAAATTGATAATTTCATGAAATGGTCAGCTAGATTTGATTGAATCGTCTGAATTTAAGGATATTACAATAAACAATTGTTAGTACAGAGGAGCGTACGCGTCAAAGGCCTTTTACTTCCAATATTCTCCATTAACTTCTTTAAGGTCGTTAGATTATCTATCTCTTTATAAAATAAAACAAATCAAATATATCCCTAAAACTTATTTCATATAATAAATAGTATTACGCGATTTCAGTCCTTCGTATAACACGGGTATTCCCCCATATAACGCGTGGATTTCATACGTTATATATCTGTACTGATTTACATTGACCTATTTCGTTCATAACATAGTTTTAATATTCGATTTAAATACCATTTAAAGAGATAAGGTAAACGTGAATCATCTTCACAAATACTTCTAAAACGCGTTTCCTATAACGCAGAACCAATCTACCGTGTTATAGGAGGTATTACTGTACATACCAAAACAACGATACTTATTTAATAAAACTGTAATTTCAATTCCTTTGAAATAGAGCTTTCATAGATAATATAAGAAATATAGGAAAACATAACTTAAGATCCACATGTGCGTTGAACATAAGCCGATTTGAGGCGTCTTTATTTACCCGAGTTGTGAGCACTTGACATTTGCTAAGCGGATTGAACGAATGCAACATTTGACGATATTATTTCAAGCATTTATGGATTTGTGTAGTTAATGCAAGAGATAAATTTATAAGGAACTAATCTTTATTTAGTGAAGGAAAACTTCGTGAGGAAACACGCAAGCTTTGACCAGTGTTTCCCTACCTTTTTTGTGACATGCCCCCTATCTAAGCCCCTTTAAAACGCTTATGCCCCCTTCAAGAAGCATACATAAATTTTGATTTAAAAAAAATTATTGTACACAGTAATTAAATTTTCAAAGTAATGAAAGACGTCGAGTCCATTATTCGAATTGCCCCCTTAACAATCAAAACTCTAATATAGACACAAAACGTCGACGGCGTGTGTCAGTCACAGGAGGCTGATAAACTCTTGCTTATAAGAAAAACTAAATTTCTGAATTGATTTAGAAAACTTTTTGTCAATTGGACGCATAATAATATTAGTAATTTTTTGATACGGTTTAGATATATTGAAAGCAGACTTCCAAGAACACAGTTGGCATCAATGGTATCGATTTCAATCATCTGCCATGAATGCTTTGAATAACAGGGATAATTCTCGGAAATATCTTATACGCTTAATCAAAGACATCATATATGTATGATATTCTATTGGAGACAAAATAATAACTACTACGTTTTTCAAGGCAGTTTTTGCCGCGCACCACCACTATGTGGAACCAGCTGCCCACTGAAGTATTTCCGAACCAATTCGACTTAGGGTCCTTCAAGAAAAGAGCGTACCAATTCTTAAAAGGCCGGCAACGCACCCGCGAGCCCTCTGGCATTGAGAGTGTCCATGGGCGGCGGTATCACTTAACATCAGGTGAGCCTCCTGCCCGTTTGCCCCCCGTTCTATATAAAAGAAAAAATAAAGCTTATCAAAGTTGTGTGAAAGTAAAAAGCCAGTTGCGCTACAACCTTCTAGGTCCAGGTCTCAGATTTATGTATTTGTTTCCTGAAGGAGGATGTTTGAAGGTGATCAGCCTGATACACGTCTACTTAAGCATGCCGGTTTCATCACCGTACGAGCGAATGTTGAATGCACATACAGAAAACCCTATCGAACCTACAACTTCAGCGATAAGAGTCACGCTGAAACCACTACCTCAACACTGCTCTTTTAAATCTGCCTTTTTATTAATTGTAATATTTAGTGATAGATCATTTTTCATGTCATGATGGGCCTCAAAATGGGGCGTTTGCGCTTTTTGTAGGTTAAAATAAATGAAACGAATAAAAATAACACGCGAGTATTACACGAGATGGGCGCATTACGCCCGCTCTGTCAGGAGCCAGCCGTAGTCATTTGAAAATGTATAATGTAAAAGTGCTAAAGAAAACTTTTACCGCACTTTTATAAACAGAAACGTTTATATAAAAATCGTAAACGGACAGGAGGCATACCTAATGTTAAGTGATACCGCCCATGGACACTTACATTGCCAGAAGGCTCGCAAAGGCGTTGCAGGTTTTTTTTAAGAATTGGTACGCTCTTTTCTTGGAGGACTCTCAGCCGAGTTCGGAAATACTTCAGTAGCTGGTTCCACATAGTGGTGATCCCCGTCCAACACTGTCATAAAAACCTTCAGTTGTTGACCGGCGACCGACGATGAAACGTATATTGATTAAAGGTTTTTTCCTCAGGGCATATACTCGTGTTCGGCGAATGGGATTCGTCGCTCTTGGAAGGCGATTGCCCTACAACCTCCGCATTGGGAAGGCTCTGCTGGAAGTGTGAACGCCAGCGAAGGTGGAAGTGCGCATATTGCATGTGGGAGGCTGTATGGCCAACCACCACCTGCAGTCCATTGGATTCTGAACGCTGAAGTTATTGAAAGTGGGAAGGGCGTTCGGGCTACTGGTGAGTTTAACGAAATCTGATAATTCAATTATTATAATCTGATAATGATTAATTCAGTCAACACTTACAATTCAGAGGCAAGGCTTAGTATTGGCAGGTTTGTAATAAATAATTCATTAAATGATTACGGACTGAATTCCTTTTTTTTTTAGTCAAGAACTGCAAATGTCATCAGACAATTGACATAATGACTCGTAAAAGACTATATCAAGTGACATGGCCCTCTTTTGAAATCTTATCAAATTAAAGATATATCTTTATAATGATTAAACGTATATTGATATAATAAATTATACTCTATATTCTAAATTATGTTACCTTAATACCTTGAACTTTATTTATTTTTTTCGTTGCATACAGAAAAAATACAATTGACATAATTAAATGAAAAAGAGGGCAACTGACGGCATTATCGCTTTTGAGCGATCTCTTCCAGGCAATCACTAATTTAAAGAGTGATTTCTATATATAATATTTTAGTTTAGCCGTTGATACTAACAAATTTGGGATTATCATACAAAATAATACATAATTTTAATAATGCAAAAAATTTTGCTGAATCAAACTTGTTCTCCAAGTACTATCAAAGTAATCACAATGTAACGCCCACAAGTTTATTGATTTTGTGCGTTCATTGCCTGATTTGCGCGTGGTTACATTTAACATGTTTAAACAGATTTGAACGCATATTTACATACATCGATATTTTGATTCGCGGCAATAGATGGCGCGTTAATGACAATATTTCATCTGACAACTGACGGATGACAATTGACAACATACACGCAGTCATGGCAACTTGCCATTGTTAAAAACACAAAACATCGGAAATTATTCTTTCCGTTTATATTATTTAAGAAGTTCTATTTAATATAAATTTATTTAAGAATGTATTAATTATTTCAAATTACGGCTGGGCATAGGACTTTTCATCCCACGGGCGCATTACTTGCTCGTACAGTGAAGCCGTCATAAAGACGGCATGTGTCAAGCACGGAAGGTATATCTTAATTTATATAATTTACGTATCACGTTGTTTGTCCGCTATGGACCCCTAAACTACCGAACCGATTTCAATCAAATTTGCACACCGTGTGTAGTTTGATCCAACTTAAAAGATAGGATAGCTTACATCTCAATTTATACTCGCAGAATTATTTTATTGCAAAATATTTGTTTCTTATTTAATAGTCACAATTCTAACAGATGGCGCTGTGTTGAAAGTACCAACGTTTCACATAAGCCTCAATATAATGGCCATAACCACCAAAAAAGCAAGGTGGTCCCCATGACTAGTGTTCTCCTACCGTTTCCCTTGAATAGTTTACTACTATGTAATATAACAAAAACCTTAGCCACAGCAACGCTTGTCCGGTCTACTAGTTAACGATAAATATCAAAACATAAACAGAAATCTGAAGCGAAATTTGGGTAGCGACACTGTTTTTTTATTTACTATTTAGATGAGCTAACGTCCATAGTCTTTAATTAAATGTATGGTACATTATAAATAGCTAATGCTTTCCTCACTCAACATTTGAGTATCGCAATACAGTGAGGAAATGCCGCTAGCTTAACTCAGAGGACTCTGCCTGGGTCCAAACTTTTTTTAAAGAGCGGTGTTGGTCTAGTGGCTCTCATCCCTGAGGTCATAGGTTCGACCCCAGCGGAGCAGCAATGGACTTTCTGTCTATGTGCGGATTAACATTCACTCGAGCGGTGAAGGACTACATCGTGAGGAAACCCGTTTGCTTTAGACCCAAAAAATCGACGGCGTGTGCCAGGCACAGGTCACCTATTAGTAATTAGATTGACAAATGATCATAAAACAGATACAGAAATCTAAGGCCCATACCTAAAAAAGGTTGTAGTGATTTATTTATTTATTAGTTATTATTTAATTTGTTACTTTTTACAGCTAATTTTAACTTTAATATTTTTTAAATTTAAATATTAAAATCATTAATTTTTGTTCCAGACTCGGATCTCTACATAGACCACGTTGAAAAGCGTCACGCGGGAATCGTCCAATGCTTTGCGTGTAACGAATTAGGATGCGCATACGACGCTGCAATGCTCACTGTTGTTCCTGTGCAGATATCAGAACAGGTACTTTGTTTGCATACCCCCAAATGGGACGGAAATTTCCGTGTATTTCAATTGATCAGTCATCTGTGCTTTGAGCTACAATGTTTTGCCGGTAGTCAAAGCCAGGAACCGACGACCATGAATATTTCTGAATAATTTTTCAGTCTACTTCCCAACACGATACTTTACCAAGAATCGAATTCGTCTCGGGTTATGCGTCAGTAAAGAGGTCACCTTTTTTTTTTAAAGAATATGGGCAAACGGGCAGGAGGCTCATCTAATGTTTAGTGTTATTGCCGCCCAATGGACACTCAATGCCAGAGATTTATTGAAAGATTTCGTACGCTCTTTTCTTGAAGGACCTAAGTCGAATTGGTTCGGAAATACTTCAGTGGACAGCTGGTTTCACATAGTGGTAGTGCGTGGCAAAAACTGCCTTAAATAACGCTGAGTTGTGAAACGACGGACATCGAAGCCTTCCACGGTCCGCTTCCCAAGACACTTTCTTTTTCGAACTAGATGACTGTGGGATCAGCTTCCGGTGGGGGTATACTTGGGAGTATACTCCTCACTCAAAGGCCCGCAATGCACCCACTGGGTGTCCATGATTGTTGCCTTTTTTGGCGTTCAGTATGCCCCCCCTCTATAGAAACTAGTTCTTTCTCTCTTTCTTTCAAATTGTATTTATGCCATAAAAGGATAAGATGTACTCATTTAAATGAGCTTAAAGATTAGATCTAGCTAATGCAGACATACCCAACGTTTATAAAATTAACAAATAAGTATTCAATTAGCATTAATAATGGAGCAATAATCTAAATCCATAGACAGCATTGATCTTTAATTTGTAAGCGGGCGATGATCGTTTGACCTTCACATTCGACTGTCTACGCGAAAATACCAAGGTTTATATCACTCAATAAATAACAATGAGGTTAAAACAACGCAATAGATTCTTTATTATTTCACACTTTTTGCAAAAGATTAAATAATATTAACAATAAACTTTTCAAAACATGGTGCAACGGCAGCTACTTAAGATCTCTTCCTGGCAATCCTAAGTAAAAAAGAAAAAATACAATAGGTTTTATTATACATACACTTTTGTGTCTATAAATATTATGAGCTTTGTAATATAGGAAAATTTGACAAATAAAAAATAAATCTATAAGAATAAAAATGACAGACAATGAATCACAAATACGAAGTTCCACTCGTATCACCTCGACGTCCGCCGTTCCACGACTGAGCGTTTTTCAAGGCAGTTTTTGCCGCGCACCACCACTATGTGGAACCAGCTGCCCACTGAAGTATTTCCGAACCAATTCGACTTAGGGTCCTTCAAGAAAAGAGCGTACAATTCTTAAAAGGCCGGCATAGTACCCGCGAGCCCTCTGGCATTGAGAGTGTCCCTCGGCGGCGGAATCACTTAACGTCAGATGATCCTAATGCCCGTTTGCCTCCTGTTACATAAAAAAAAACATGCTTTGATAGTCCTATCATTTCTTCTTTCTTTAGCTTCACTTCTCTTCGGGAGCCTTCCTAGGTCTCTAGTAGTTGAACCCCTGATGTTATCAGGTACAAAACGATTAGAGTATATTCCACATATAAGTATAAATATGGAATATACTTATAAATGATATAGTCAACATACTTTGGTTATAGCGATATTTTATTAATAAGGACAAAAATCTAAAGATTTTATTCCTTAATTCGGTTCCTAATTCGGTGTAAGTAACGAATACTAAAATATGTTTCTAGGATTACACAGCGGACATACCCAAATCTATGCATATACCATCCCAACCTCCGAAGAAACACAACAGAAAGAACTCAAGAAAGAATAAAGGTAAGATAAACATTTCGACTGATTTCGTAATATATTGCATTATTTGTCCACAAATTACTCAGAAGCTAAACGTCATCGATTGATTTCAGGTATATTTTATGGAACTGTTTGAGTTAACTCGAAATCGTGCTAAACTGATTTTCACTTAATAAAGGCTAGATCAAGAGTAGGAAATTAAACACTCCATTACTTGATTCACTATTCACTTCTTTCAATGCACTGATTTTACATACTGATTGCTGTATCGCTTCCAAGTTAAACGAAGAATGCTCATGCGCATGTGCCACAACTTGTTTTATATTTTATTCCCTATTCGGAATAGACCATCCCACTTCGGCGAATGTTCGACGTCAATTCGTAAACAACAGAACGAGTAAAATGAGCAATTATGGCACATGCGCGTTTATTAAGATTCATAATAATATGTTTATATATTTTATGAAAAAAAATCAGGATTTACTTAAATCAATATTAAAAGCTAACACGTGTTTCTGGATGGAAATTTGTCGCTACCATAATGATATTGCCCAGAGTTTTGACATTTTTCACGGTTCTCTGGCCTCAGCTAAGAGTAGAATTAGGACACAGTACCGATAATTTATTTTCTTGGTTCAAATAGTTTAATTCTTTTATAGTTTATATTTTTAATTTTTATGCTTGTTTGTATTTAACACTATTTTTTGTATCTACTTGATTTCGCTGGCCGTGTCCACATGTTATAGGGACGGCACCGCTTTTGATATTTATGTATGTATGTCAATTTATATCATGTGTTTGTCCTAATTTTGTGGTCCAAATAATTTTTTTTTTATTATTATTCTAAATTCAGGTTCTGGCAGAGTTAATTAGGTTAATAGTTTTTAATTACGCAGCTAGCTACAAATAGTCTGTGAAAGTTGGAATACTAATAATAATAATGAATAGTCTTATTTTTGATTTACTAATAAATACATTTTTGTCTTAATACCAAAATTATAAAACGGTATGTCTTATAATTTTCAATAGTTTCAGACTATGACGTATTAAAAATGAATGAAAATGCATCTAGGGCTATATTCATAAAAGTTCAGTAATGCTTTCTATATTCCAGCCAGTAAATATTTAAGTACAATTTTATAGATATTTACCAATTTCAAAGTTTTTAGTTCGCTTATATAATGGTGTTAAAGTGGCATGAATATTTATTGCTACAGGCCTGTGATTTTGTTTATGGAACATGTGTTATGCGATACGAAAAAATTGCACTGGCTTACAGTAGCTTACTAGCTACATAACATGTTTCGCCGATTTTTAAACACTCAATGTGTACAAACATAGCTTTGTTTTTGTTTACCAAACCGAGCTTTAAAGCTTCGTTATTAACAAATTTGAAATAAGAATCCGTATTTGTTAGTAAAGCTATTTTTTAGAGCAGTGTTGGCCTAGTAGCTTCAGCATGCGCTCCCATCTCTGAGGTCATAGGTTCGTTCCCCGGCTGTGCACCAATGGACATTCTTTCTATGTGCGCAATTCGCTCTAACGGTGAAGGAAAACATCGTGAGGAAACCGGCTTGCCTTAGACCCAAAAAGTCAACGGCGTGCGTCAGGCCCAGAAGGCTGATCACCTACTTGTCTATTACAATATCATAATAATAAAATGATCATGAAACAGATACAGAAATCTGAGACCCAGACCTAAAAAGGTTGTAGCGCCACTAATTTATTTCATTTTATTTTTTAATACGAAAATTTTTCAACTAAGTTTATACATTACCAAAAATCACTTTCACTTGAATAATTTGTCTCACATCTCCAATTTTATTTATTATACATTAATCATCATTACATTTATCATCGTTAGAATTATAATTATTACATTAATTATCATTAGATTAATATTAAAGTAATATTTTAATTAATAAATTATACGTTTGCAGCGGTTCTTATAGCTCCTACTCGACCGAATGTGACAAGACTCTCCGATGAAAAAGTAATGGTTTCTTGGACACATTCAAAACACGGCCTGCCGATACAGTTTTTCAAGGTAATATAGCTTTTACATTTAAATACATAATATTCCATCACTCATATAAATGTTTTATTTTCTTTATTGAAAACTATGAAGTGTGAACTCTTTATTTTTACAAATTAGTTCACTCACACGCGCATTGTAATGGATTTCAATAAAATTATAAAAATAATATACATATTTGAATGTATCTAAATAATTTTAATGGTTTACGAACGAACAAACACTAATTAAATTCGTTTAATCTATCTAATATGGTTTAATCTCTAAGGATTAATAAACCAGTATTTATTTTAGCAATAACCGATTTACACATAACTGATTCGATAATACTATACCACAATTATATTTGCATTGTATATTAGAACATCGCAGGGCAAGTACAGCCGTGGTCAGGGTCGTTTATAAAAAAAAAGGTGTGGCACTCGAGGACTGCCGCGCTAAAGCTATTGCATTTTTTTTCTTCAACTTATGCAATTATAATTATTTATTTATGCAGTATATTTCTTTCTTTGATATTAAATCAAGTTTTTTCTTTGATAAATTAATTCAATCTACACCACTCTACCAGAGTCAGACTAACTCGCCTATATAGTCTGTCTCACTCTAACGCGCACCGGCTGCACCGATCTCGTCAGAGAGATGTAAATACGCAGTATGCGTTCTGTCCCGCTCTAACGCGCAAGGTGTTTTCCGTGACGGAATTTCTTGATTCGGTCTCCACGCTCGAGGCCCGCGATAGAAGCTATGCAATAGCCTAAAACGAATACTTATCATAAATGTTTATAGCTGAAAAGTTTTTATTGCTAAGTTGGGTATTCAATTTTGTGTTTTGCACCATTCCTTAGATACATAGTTTATTATTATATAGATAAAATTTAAATCAAGTTATCAATAATACGAAACATTCAAATTACCCTTCCACTCAGGCATTGAAAAAAAATCTAGGGACTGACTACGTTATTATGTGTATAATTGTACTATGGAGAGTCTTCTGAAGAATTTTATGGGTATACAACTACTTCGTTTCATAACTGTACGAGCCGTAATAATTCAAGATCTCGTTCCAGTCTGCTTCACTAGTCATTTTCTTTCGTCATTCACTCCCGGTGAAGGTCTTCCCTGAGACAAAGAAAAAATATCTTAAAGAAAAAGACTAAAACTTCTCTCACTAAATTAGATTGTCCATGGGCAGCAATAACTTTCATGGCTGCCCCGTAAGCTCGTTGGCCCCACTAGCACTCTCTTTTTCTTTCAAATAGTGTTACGCTACGATAAAAATAAAAAGGGTATTCCATTGGATAACGGTGCCATTAGTATAAGTATAATAAGTCTTTTTTAATAATAGCTTATGAATATACAACGAAAAGCATAGTTAGCCCAATCACAGATCCACTAACGATGAAGGGATGGCGTCGTTCCGTTCGTGCAATTTCAAACCAAACATGCCATCGCATAATCGTTTTACATTGTCAAGTTATTTTATGATATCGATCAAGTGAAATTTTTCTCTGAAATATTTTGAACAAATATAGTAATTTCATACATTGAAAATATATCCTATGTATTCTCAATCTACATATTCCACCGAATAAAGTTTCAAAATCTTTAAATGCACACATTTTTTTGCACGTAACGGAAATAAATTTAGCTAGTTTTCTTCCACTGCTGAAGCCTTTACTATGTACCTTCCAATGCGGTGATCCCAAGGTTTCGATCAGCGCTATGGATATTTGTATATGTTGCTGTAAAATCTGTTGATTCTATAATTTTGTTTTATAAGATTTAGTTATATGCACTTCTTGCACTTTACCCATCATATTTCAATTTAATTTTTTTCCCTTACAAGGGTTGCCTGAAAGGGATCGCTTGTTAGTGATAAGGCCGCCCCTTGTATCCCATATAATTTTTATGTATTATGTCATTTGTTAAAAATAAAATTGGCGCGTTCTATAGTCTTGTGGTTGTTGTGCGTAGTGGTTGGTTTATACTCTATACTTAGTTACTTCCTTTTGGTGACCTTTGTTAAAACTGATTGTACCTATCGTAATCTCTGTTACATTAAAAACAATAAACCTTTTTCAACAAGTAAATGGTATTCAATTACACTCCGCTAACAATAACATTTTTTTAACACTCTGTATTTCTATAAATGTAACTAACTGTAAATAAATAAATATAAAATAGTAGGTACGACGCTTCCATCGGTTTGTTAGATCTTTATAAAAATAATATGACAGTTAATCTATAAAACTTTCTAATTACTTACAATAGCGAGAACGTTACATCAATTCTCCCATTTCACATTCATTATCATTCGATAAAATCAGTTAATTATTTTCCTATGTAGTAAGGTTCCCCAATAATATTTATTTACACGCCTTTTTACCGAAGGCGTAGGCAGATCATGGATCTCCACTCGCTACAGTCCTGATATACCTCTCTCGCTTCTTCATTCTTAGGTACTTTTATCTTGTCTCTTCTCTGGTCTAGGTATGAGAAGGTACGAGAAGGCCTACCCAACCCGATCCCATCATCCACAGTTGCTTTGTTTATCCTACTTGTTAACCGCTTTTCGTTCATCCCTTCTACATCCAAACCAACTATCCAATAATAGTTAAAAAAAATCAGTGGCACTACAACCTCTTTAAGGCTTGGCCTCAGATTTCTGAATCTGTTTCATGATCATTTTTAAATCTAATAGGCAAGTAGGTGATCAGCCTCCAGTGCTTGACACACGCGCTCGAGTTTTTAGGTCTAAGGCAACCCGGTTTCCTCACGATGTTTTCTTTCACCGTTCGAGTGAATGTTAAATGCGCACATAGAAAGATAGTCCATTGGTGCACAGCCGGGCATCGAACCTACGACCTCACGGATGAGAGACGCACGCTGAAGCCACTAGGCCAACACTGCTCAATAATACTTAATATGCTCTTAATAAATGGTAAATATCAATTCAGGTTCAATACAGGGAGGTGACGAATTCGTCAAATGTGAATTGGAAGACTGCCACCGACGAGATCAAGTCGTCTACAAACTCGTATGAGATCAGCGGACTACTGCCAGATAAGTACTACAAGTAAGTTTTCATCATCCGTAGGTATTAAATTAATAAAACTACGTTTACACTTATAGCTAATGAATTTTCAGGTACATTTTATTGGTTATTATTGTCATACGGCTTAAAGAGTATTAAAAATATCCAGGGTTAAATAAATATATATTTATTCAATTATAAGTAATCTTACAGCTAACATACATATTATAAAACAAAACACTTAGACAATACAGAAAGCCAAAACAGATTACTTAATTAAACAATATATACGAAACAGAAAACCAGTATTATTTCTCTTTTTGAAGTTATACTTCTTTTAGCGCGATAAGGAAAAATGATGAGAGTAAATTTTTACGATGCGCGCGCACACCGTCACCATCAAAAAACCGACACCCTGAAGTTAGCTAGCTCAACATTTTATTTTGTGATATTTAAATAAACTTCATTTAACTAGATAATGCTTCATAATAAAACTTTCAATGTATAAAATACCTTTTTTCTATTGTTAGTGTCGTTTTTTCTACCAACGTAGAATAAAATTTTTGAAAAGATTTTCATCTTGTTACGCCAAAGTAGTATAACTTCTAACGCGTGTACATAAGTACAGACACGTTTTACATATACTTAGTTTAATACTTTATTGTTAAATATGTCAGCTGTTGTCAAGTGCTAAACGAATATCAATATATGCGAAAATTCGGCCTCACATGGAGAAATGTTCTTACCTAGCGGAAGCTCCCAGCTCCGCAGCAGTACCTTCATTTGATCGCATCCAATCGCTCGAATCATCGACGGCCCTGCTCTTTCCGATCGGCTTGATTCTTTGCGTAAGGCTTTCCTCTCTGAAGAATTGTTCGGATTCCATGATCGGACGTCGTTAGAATGTGAAATTCCATCCTTTCCACCTCAACGTCTGGCGTTCCAATACACAGTGCTTTTTATGACACTTTTTGTGGAACCACCTGACAGTGGTACTTTCGAACCGATATGATACTTCAAGTGCGTACCATCACCTCATGGGCAACATACACGCAAGCCTGCTTATTTGTCTTCAGTCCCCAGAAAAATCGGTATTCAATTTTAATCCCAAGGCAAAGCTAACTAGCTAATCCTAACCTAACCACTAGACATTTAAATCTTTTATGCACTGCAAATTGAATTATTACCACAACTATATCATGTGATAATACAAACAAGCATAATTGAATCAAACAGATATACTGAAATACGAATTCAATTCTATTCAATAGGTAATTACTAATTAGTTTTGCGGTAACGCGTTGCATTAAGCATATTACCAAACATTATGGATTATGAAACACTAGCCAGTGCCTGTGACTGTCTATATTAAAAACAAAACGAACTAATGAAAAAGAAGATTGGTACATTTATTGGAAAACACGACGTCGATGTGTCTAGTTAGCTAATGATTTGTGTAGGTGGCGTATTTTTAAAGAAATGCCTTTTTTTAAAATAACAATTATTAATTATAAAATTGAGAGGTTTTAACACGATATTTTATTTTATGTTACATTATTACTAATTTCTTATGAACATCTATGCTTAGCTTCACTTCACACTTGTCAATGTGGTCAATTTTCAATTATTGTAAATACCCAAAGTCAGTATCTTTTTATAGAACAGGGAGCAAATGGCAGAGGGCTCGCGAGTGCGTTGCCGGCCTTTTAAAAATTGGTTCTCTTCTTTTGCCTTTTTTAAAGGACCAAAGATTTGGAATCACTATTGAAAGTTAGAGTGCACTACTGTAAATCTTTCAGAGTGAGCACTTACTCACGCGACTTTTAATCCAATAAGGTGTTTAAACCCCCAATTTAAACCTATGAATTGTATCCTATATGGGAAAATATTTACTCATACGTAAAGACAAGAAGAAGAAAACATCGTGATGAAACGAGGTGGTGATTTTAATGGCTACTGACAAAATACTTGTTTTTAATTTTGATCGGTTCAGACATACAAAGTGTGTTATTACAAACCGAATAATTTCAAGTTTCGTTTGATTTTTGTTGAAAGCATATGTTAAATTATTAATTCCTGAATTCAATTGTAAAACAGTTGTATTTAATAAACGTTATTTACAAATTTATCTTTACTATAGTGAATTAATACTACTGTATTAGAAAACTTATTACGGTGAAACTTGTATAGGGACCTCAAGGGACCAGGGATTTTTGTACCATTTAAAGGTTTCATTTATCCAGTTTTCCATTTAGGTTTAAAATTTTAGCTGTCTTTTACAAAGGCTTCGCTTTCGTATGTTTCGTATAGATATTTTAGTAATACTAAGAGTAGTACTAGAAGTAGTGTAGGTTAAAATAGGAGACAAGGATACAAAAGGTAATGTTTATGGATGAATGAGAAGTAGGATATTCATGGCACCGTGGATAGTGAAGTCGGGTTGGGGATTGTCGGACATACCTAGACCAAATCCAGGAGGTACTAGAGAAGGGACGACTTAAAAGGTTCTATAAACGACGAGCTTGCATGGTGAATGTCATGAAAGTGGATGATACGAGAGAAGTATGTCAGGACACCGCGACCGTAGCAAGAGGAGGTCTGTGGTCTATGCCTACCCCTTCGGGAATAAGGCGTGATGATATAAGTATATATTTTATCTATGGCATTACGTATATAAAGTTGTGTTTTGTGAATATCTTTGTAATATTTTATTCACAGATTCCGCATAGCAGCTGTTTATTCGAACCAAGACAACAAGTTAGGGCGAAGCAGTCCCAAGTTCTACTTGCGGCGTGGAGGGTCTGGGACCCGTCCACGAACACCGAACATCGCTATGGCGGTCGCGTTGTCGCCTCATAGTTTACTCTTAAATTGGACCGTGAGTTGTTCATATAAATAACTTTGGCTGTTATTGCTTTAAAAGCCCTACTGTTTCCTACCTAATTTTTAATATTAAAAAAAATTGTTAACTTAAGAAACTTCAATGATAGGTTTTAGGAAGAAATTGCTAAGATATTGTTAAGCAAACACAGTAAGTATATTTTCAAAACATAGTGAAAACCTGAAATTCAAATTCCATATAATTTTAATAAATTTACGAATAGGCCCCCTGTGGGGCACCTCACGCTGGGAAACACTGGTAAGGACACATAATGCTATAGTAGACTCTCCCAATAATTTAAGAAAGAATATTAGCAACAGTTTTCTTTAATACTTTCGTAAATGTAGCGGGTCACATTTGAAGTAAAGAGTTGATTCAGTACCTTTTTTAATTTTTCATACTTAAACGTGTAACAAAGCATGTATGTACAGTGGTCAAGCGAGGGTGGCGTGGAGGCGGAAGGTTTCTACGTGTACTTCCGAGCGGTATCCTCGGCCGGGGCTTATGAAAAGGTAAAATTCTTGTACTTCTTGAATTATGGTTCATTGTAATCAAGAATTTGTGTGCTTTTTAGGTTATTTACAGAAAAAAAAACAAAAAAAATTAACGTTTTTTTTACATGTTTATTGTTTAATAAATTAAATAAGGAAATGGCAATAAAATATATTGATTTTTTTTATTTTCTGTATTACAAATTCACTCTTAAAATGAATAACGCGTTTTTCGAAGTAAATTGAAGTTCTGAGTTTAGAATATTCCACCCGTATCACCTCGACAGCTGTTCCACAACTGAGCGCTTTTTAAGGCACTTTGCTGCACCACTACTATGTGGAATCAGCTGTCCACTGGTATTCCGAACCAATTTCCCTTAGGGTACTTCAAGAAAAGAGCCTACTAATTCTTAAAAGCCGCGAATTATTGGCGAAACGTTGGGAATAATTATCCGCTTCTCATAGTATTATTTTATTATTACTTTACACGTTTGATTAAATTTTGTATAAACTATGTATAAATATGTATATGATATGTAGGTAAATGTCGACGGTTCTGCTCGTAGCGTGTCTATTTCACATCTTGCGCCAGACACGGCCTACGAGCTCAAACTGCAAGCTTATACTACGCAGGCGCCTTCAGGCTTTAGCTCCAGATTGGTAAGTCATAAATTTGAATAATCTTATTTATATTATGATACTAGCGGAGATATGTCTTGTATACTTTTTAAAAACATCATCTTATTGAAAATCTAAACCATCATCGAATCCACTTGAACACACAAAACAAATCATAAAGTTTAAGAGTTTAATACAAGTGAACTGAAGATTTATAAAAAAATATTATTATTAATGTAATGAAAAATTTAAGCTTTTGATCGTTGGTGTAATAACCCCCTACAACCTCACAAACCTTACCATACTATTAGTATAGATTTAAAAAATTCGTACAATGTCAATTTTGTTATCGAAAAGTTATGTTTTTTTAAAGTACCGGTTTTAGGTACTTTTTTTTTTTGCAAAAAAAATCATGCGCCATCATAACAACACTAGTTATGGTGCTGAGAACTCATGACGAAGTCATAAAAAAAAATCAGTCTCAAAATCGCTGGTGCCGCGATACGGAATATTTACCGAAAAATTAAACCTAAAACATAATAGGTCGCGAAAACTCTGAGAGCTACAACAACTGAACCAACCACTACCACATCCCCAACTGAGGATGTCAAAGAGGAGGGTCCAACCACGCTGGTGACGGCTGGTGGGATAGTTGGGGCGACAGCTTTGTTGCTCATACTTGCTGTTACTTTGCTTTTGTGTAAGCGGAGCCGGCGGCCAGCTTCAAGTAAGTATTTTTTTAAACTGAAAGATATTGTTATCGTCCCGTTTTTTGTTATTTAAAACTAAGTCGTGAGCCATCGAAAAGTTAAATTAATCAAACCTAATTAAAAAATAATATTTGGGTTTAGATTGAGTCCATTACAAGAAAGAAGTATTGATGCACACTTATGAATGTCAGTAAAGAAAGTAATGCTTCAAAATTTACATTTACTGTCAGTTTTCAAATGAAGACCATAGAACGGACGAGAAGAACTGTCAATAAACTCTCAGTCATTATTTTAAATCGACAAGTTTTTTTATATTATTCTTTGTTAGAACCGGCAACCATTACCTCGTGCTCCTCGACTCATGTTAATTAAAAAATATGTTAAATATATTTAAAAATAAAAAAATAATTAACTTAAATACATAATAAAACCAAGGAATGCTGAAATAGGACTATGCAACTTACATTACTGTTGGTACAACACGAAAACGTATCAAGGGGCAGAAAATTATTATTACATATATCACCACACTTTAACAATATAAAATCAAATTTTACGTGTCCGAACGCGGTGAAACCTGCCGACAATTATAGATATGTCAAAATTGACAAATTTAGTTCCGCTTTGTGTTCGTGAAAAGGACTTTATAACATAAAAAACAGATAAAAATATAAGTTGCCATGTGTTTTGTAGAGTGTGGAATATTTAACGGCCATTTAATAAGTAAACATTTATTATCTATTCGAGGTTTATAGAAAGTTTTATAAATTAGGCAATAAAAGTCTTACTAGAGTATACAAAAATATTTCCCAACCTTTTTTGTACCATGCCCCACCTTACCCTTTCTAAATTGTAACACATATGTAAGATACATAATTTTGATATTAAGAGACTAAAATATATAAATAGACTAAATAGGTTTCAATTAACGAGGAAATTGTTAACGAAACACAGTAAGTCAATTTTCAAAACAAAAAAATATGAAATTCAAATTTCAAATAATTTTAATAAATTTTCGAATAGCCCCTCTTAACGATCAAATTTTACCCCTATGAGGCATCAGCTCCACGTTGGGAAACATTGGTATATAGTATTAGAATGTTCTGTTAAGTTACTCCAGAGCGATAAAGACAAAGTCGGCTTAGCTGCTTAAACTCTCTATTTTTATCATTATTTTCATTTTCACAAAATGATTGAACAGTTAAAAACAAAAGATAAATATTATTTAAAAATATTCTCATATTCAGTAAATATTCAAAGTTTATTTGGCATAGAAGGTTGAACACTTACCTATGATAAATTAATTCATAGAATATTAGATTATTATATTCATAGGCATATGCCTATTATTCTAATAATCTATGCTATTGATGATACATGTGCCTAGACACATCTTACAAGAGCCTTGTTAGCTCGCTAACGCATTCATAATGAATTCATTCATTCGTAATGGTTGCAGTTCCTTGTATACTAAAACTTCTAAAAACACAATAACATTCAAATCAATTTAACTCGACTAAAGGTCCGACAAGAAAAATACGTACCAATTCTTAAAAAGGCCGGCAACGCACTTACGAGCCTTATGCGGCGGTATCACTTATCATTGGATGAGCCTCTTGCCCGTATGCCCCCTTTTTCAAGGACAAGTAACACTTAAGATAGAGTATATGTCACGTGTTTGAACCATCAAAAAAGTTAAGACATAGATAGAATGAAATCAGTCTATTTATTTAGATTGTAGTACAAATTTGCATTCGAGAGCTACCTTAAGATTGCCACGAAGATTAAATAAAACTACTTTGTGACTGCACCAGTTGTACTGTTTGAACTGAAATTCAAGACTTATGTACAATTTCGTATTTGATTAATTGAAATGATATAGTCATTCTGTATTCAAGAAACTGTATTTAATTTCCTCGCTGTATTACGATATTTTACGAGCGAGAAATTACTAGCGCTGGAGTTACCGATACTGTCTACTCTACCTTCTAATTCACAAGAAATTAATTCTTGAGTAAAATCTAAATTTATTTTTTTAATATATAAAATATACTTGATGTTTCGTGTTCTATACAGTTTGCAGTCACACACAAAACTAGAGATTAACAACTCACATTCTTGTTTACCTATATGAATAAAGTTTATTTGAGTTTGAGTTTAAACTTAAGTAAATGTATTGATACACTATCGTGATAAATTTATTAAAAAAACTGACACAATTATATGGTAGCTAATCATCCACACGTTGGTCCCACACTAGTGGCATCCCAGATACTATTCCTTCGTTCATATATACGTTAATCAATACAATGACTACTGTATAAAACAATTAATATTTTGTATATAAAATGTAAAGTTAATTCTGCTGATCATAATATAACCAACACGGTTAAACCGTTAAGGTTTCAACTAATATAATTAACTTTTTATACTAGGCTAGTTGGCATTTTTAATTTGATCGTTTGAGAGTCACACACGTTTTTAGTGTTCGGAGAAACTGGTTTGAATTACTTTAATTCGGTCAAGAAGGCAAACCATAGGCTTGCTACCTGTAATAATTGTAAATTATTGTGTTTCAATTGATTAATTTAAAAATGTACACACATTCCTTTAAAACTACGCACTGCATTACAAAACGTTTCTATGTGGCCAACTGATTATTTGACAATCAAGGCAACCGTGGTGACAGGTTGGGGAGGCCTTGTAGTACATAACTCTATCACCAAACCACCAAATCCAGGACGGTAAAGTTGAAAGTACCCATAACCGTGCATGGTGAATGTCATGACAGTGGATGAAGCGAAAGAGGTTTGTAAGGATCGTAACAAGCGTAGATTCGTGATCTCTACCCCTTCGGGAGAAAGGCGAGAATAATATATAAATCAAGGTCAATCACCGGAGTATACAGTGCTTGTTCAGAGGAGTTGTTCGGATTAATACCTGCAGCTGAGTTTCGTCATCGGACGTCGAGGCAGAATACGAAATTCCACCCGTATCACCTCGACTTCCGCCGTTCCACAATTGAGCGTTTTTCAAGACAGTTTTTGCCGCGCCCCACCACTATGTGGAACCAGCTGCCCACTGAAGTATTTCCGAACCAATTCGGCTTAGGGTCCTTCAAGAAAAGAGCGTACCAATTCTTAAAAGGCCGGCAACGCACTCGCGAGCCCTCTGGCATTGAGAGTGTCCATGGGCGGCGGTATCACTTAACATCAGGTGAGCCTCCTGCCCGTTTGCCCCCCGTTCTATAAAAAAAAATGCACTACTAATAAAAACCTGCTTGCGTTGTTGTAGTCAATATCAATGTTAATGTTTCTAGCGTCTACCAATTGCCCGGTTTCCGGTTTGCCAATTCGATAAAACTGTATTACAATATTCCGTGAGCGTAGAAATGGGTCGACCCAAAAAACCGCATTGTAATTAAGACAAAACATCTATTCTGCATCTCGAAACGATCCCAACTCGGTAACCATCTAATTGTACACGTACAAAGTGTCGTTATACAAACCACTACATTTGATAACTGTTTCAACTACAATACTATTCGCGTTTCCTTTGACTTCAAAATTTGAGGAAATTTTGAAATTTACTCAAGTATTTTAGCAGCCTTGTTTAAACGCTACTTCCATATAGACGAGTACGAGTTTTCAGCTTTCGTGGTCACTGAGCTTTTTTTATAGAACAGGGTGCATACGAGCAGGTGGCTCTACTGATGTTAAGTGATACCGCCCATGGACACACAATGCCATAGGTCATGCGAGTGTGTTGTCAACATTTTAAGAATTTTTACGGTCTTTTCTTAAACGACCCTTAGGGCCAGTTTTTTGATCCGTAGTAAAAAATGGTTTTACCATTTGTTACATTAACTATAGTTAAATGAATAACCATTGGTAAAATCGTAAATGCGTTTTTCAATGCCTTTTTTAACTATAGTTAAAGTTAACAATTTGTCAATTTGTTGCCAGTGCAATGAGCAAAGACATCCCAAAAAATGTGGTTCTTTTTTGTGGGGATCATTTATTTTGTATGACAACACTAGACATATTGAGTGAATGAAATCCATTTTTGCCATCTTCATTCGTTATTTGCGCTTTGAAGAGTTTGAAGTGTCAAATTAATCTAAATAACACGATATAAATAAAGTTGTTTTTCTGTGATTTAATACGGTTTACACTTTTTACGATACTTAAATATATAAATAACGATGTCCGCAAACAGCCAACGGTCAAATAAGTAAGTTCAAACATATTTTCGTGTTATTTATTCCGGTTTATCTTGTGTTTCGTAATAGAAAGTAATACATTTATGTTTTGTTAAAGGGACCATACTGCTAACTTCGCCAAAAAAGAAACTGCCAAACTGGTGATGCTTCTCAAGGATTACACAGTCGTAACCTGCAAACAACTGATCACTGCAGCAATCTACAAAAAGATGCAGCTTGGAAATCTCTGTGACGTTTTCAACTCAGATGGGTCTAGACACCGAAGTGTTAAATTTAATATACATTTAATGAAGGTGTAGGCACATTTTTATATTTATTCTTGTATAGCTGTGTCCTACAACAAAAGGAAAAAATCTTTTAACCCTTTGGAAACAAGGAAGCGGATTATGATCCACACGGATAAAAAAAAATTGAGTTTAGAAACAAAGACAAATAAGAGAGGATGATTTGTTCAATTATGCTTAAGAAGAGCATCAAAAACATTTGCTGCACCAATGAGAGGCCCACCAAAAATTCATACTGCATAAAGAGGAGGTGCACCAAAAAGTGATGCAGCAGATGGAAGAAAGGCACAATAAATATATGTAGCAGCAAAAAGAGTTGCATCAAATTGAGGTGAAATGCAAGAAGAAACAATTAGAAAATATTTAATTGCTACTTTAGGGTTTCATGTAAATTTTGTAATGTTTTTTTAATAAAAATGGTTTGTATTTAAGTTATAATTAAACAGTTTATTAATCCAAGTCAAATGTTTTATTTATAAATTCTTGTAATAAAGTAGATAGATGCTAACTC